AGAGAAAGGAGAAAGGGAGGGGGAGGGAGGAGGAGAGGAGAAAGAGAGAGAGGGAGAGGAGGAGAGAAAGGAGAAGGGGGGGGAGGAGAGACAGAGGGAGAGAGATGGTTCTGTTTTCCCAGCCTCATTTTCAGGGAAAGTGCCCAAGGTCACCCACTTAGGTAGTGAGTAGCAGGCCCCAGATGGCATGGAATGCCCACAGCCTGGCTCTGTTCCACGCACGTGGTGGGTGGGTGGGGCCTCCTGGCCCCAGCTCCAGGGGAGAACCCTGGCCCTTGGGTCCTGTGTGGCCAAGCAGAAGTTAGTTGGGGCTCCTTGCCCCCTCCCTGGAGCCTCTGCTGGCAGATGCCTCACCCCCACTCCAGGTGTCTGCATTGGCCTGAGTTTCCTCCTTCTGCTCTCGCAGCAGCCAGGGCTAGGGCTTCCTGAACCAGATCCTGTGACAGCCCTGGGACAGGCCAGGACCAGCGGCCCTGAGCCCTCCTGCATGTCTGCTTGGGAGGGGGCAGCTCAGGCAGGAGCAGGCACACAGTCTCTCATCCCCACTGCCCTAGGCCGGGGCATGGGGGGAGGGGTGCTCTTCTTGGGCCTCTCTCTCACCAGGAAAGGGGTCAGGCCTCCTACATCGGAGGCCCTTTAGCCAGCCTGTCATGCATGAAAGTACCCAAGGAGAATCACAAGTAGTGTTACCCTCATTTTGGAGGTTAGGAAGCTGAGGCCCAGAGAGGGGCAGAATGTGCTGAGAGGTGCGTCTGTGGGCCCCAGGATCAAGGCCTTAGGCATCGCCCTCTGACCTCTTCATCTCACCCCAGGTGAGGCTGGTGCCAACATCATTGAGGTGTCCAAGGAGGCAAGGAAGCGATTCCTGGGGCCACTCCACCCCTCTTTCAACCTGGTAAAGATTATTCGTGGGTGCCTCCTGAAGACACTGCCAGCCGATGCCCACGAGCATGCCAATGGGCGCTTGGGCATCTCCCTGACCCGTGTGTCGGATGGCGAGAACGTGCTTCTGTCCCATTTCAACTCTAGGGAGGAGCTTGTCCAGGTGTGTGTGTGTGTGTGTGTGTGTGTGTGTGTGTGTGCATGAGTATGTGTGTGTGTTTGTGTGAGTGTTATGTGTGAGCATGTGTATGTGAGTATATGTGTGTGTGTGTATGAGTGTGTGTGTGAGTGTATAAGTGTATGTGCATATGTGAGTGTGTGTGTGAGTATGTAAGTATGAGTGTGTGTGTGTGTGTGTGTGTGTGTGTGTGTGTACATGGGACAGCACTAGGGCTGGGGGGGAGCATGCATGTCTCCTACAGGTCGGGGGGGGGGGGGGGGTTTATACATGTGTATACCCACACAGGGCATACCGTGGCGGGGCTTGGCCTGTTTCAGGCCCTCATTCCTGCCTCTGTCTCGCAGGCCAACGTCTGTAGTACCTTTATCCCCGTGTATTGTGGGCTCATCCCACCGACCCTGCAGGGTGTGGTGAGTGCCCTCCCTTCCTGGCTTCTTCTCTGCTCGGCAGGGCAGTGGGAGGGGGCAGGGGCCCACGTTGTATACCACAGACGTCCCTAGGCTGGGGAAGAAGGCTCCTGGGGGCCACCCCCTTCAGCGAATTACACAGTTGTGAGGCCTCCTTTGGGGAAGTTCTGGGGCCAGGTCTGTCTGTCCTCAGCAGCAGCTGCAGATGGTGCGCCTGAGCCAGGGGAGGGCGGGCAGAGGGTCAGATCTGGCCCAGTGGGTAAAAGGCCACCACGCAGAGCTGGCATCAGGGAGAAGTGGTTAATAATAGCCCTGGAGAGGCCAGAAGGAGACAGAGTTGTTCCATGAAGTAGGTCCCAAAGTAGCCTTGTCACGCCACCCCCACCCCCTGAGCCAGCCTCTCCTGGCCTTTAAGGAGGACACGGGCACTGGGGGATGGGCAGACCTTTGGGCTGGGGGCGCTGAGGGGTGGGCAGGCCTGGGCTGGGGAGGGGGCAATCAGAAGACTAATTAGTGGCCCTCGTGCTCATGGCCCGCAGCGTTATGTGGATGGTGGAATTTCGGACAACCTGCCCCTCTATGAGCTGAAGAGCACGATCACTGTGTCCCCTTTCTCAGGGGAGAGTGACATCTGCCCCCAGGACAGCTCTACGAACATCCACGAGCTCCGGGTCACCAACACCAGCATCCAGTTCAACCTTCGAAACCTCTACCGGCTCTCCAAGGCTCTCTTCCCCCCAGAGCCCCTGGTGAGGGCCATCCGCTGGGAAGGGAATGCGCATTGATGGCACGCCTGCTGCATGCCAGACCCGGTCCTAAGCACTTTTGAATTCTAATCTCACAACCATGCTAGGAGGGATGTGTTGCTATTATTCCCATTTTGCAGATGAGGAAACAGAGGCAAAGAGAAGGGAAGTGACTTGCCCAGGGTCACACAGCTAGGAAGTGGCATCTTCCAGATGCCCGGCCTAGTGGCACCATCCAGCTTTCATTAGGAGATTGTATCAGAGCTGATCCTAGAGGGAGCTTAGAGAGTCAGGGAGGCCAGGATGAGGACAGACGCGTTGTTGGCCCAGGAGCAAAGTCCGAGGTGGCACAGACAGAGAGGGCAGGCTGAGTTCAAGGTGCTTCAGGTCAGCTTCTGGCTGGGATGAGCTGTTCTTGAGGCAGGGCAGTTGAGCAGGAGCCTGGAGAGGCAGGCTTGAGGCTGTGGCCGCTGTGCTGGCTGGCTTTGCCTTCCAGACGGAATGCGGAGGCCTTCTTTCCCCGCTTGAACGAGGGGTGCAGAGAAGGGGACGCGTAGGAGAGGCTCAGGGGACTTAACAGCTGCCAGGATGGAGGGTGAGAGTGGCCAGTTGAGGGTGACTCTGAGCGGCCAGCCTGGAGAGTTCCTTCTGTGCTCATGGGATTTGGAGGCCGGGGGAGGGCCATGTTGGACGGGTGGCTCCAAGGAAGGCCGAGAACAGACCATCACACTGCCCGGTGCCCGGCGGTGTCTGACACAGGCGGGGGTTTTGGGAATGAGATACAAGCAGGGACACAGAAAGGGCTTGAGAGCTCCCCCTGAAATCCCAGAGTTGGCTGGCCTGCCTGAGGGTGGATGGGATGGCCCTTTCCCAGAGGCCTCCAGGCCTGAGGTCCCATGGTCTGCTGGTCCAGCTCAGACTCCCTGACCTGGGAAAGCTGGACCTCTTCCAGAGTCTGGAGCCTTCCCCTCCGTTCTCAGCCCAGCCTGGGGGGCCTGAGAGAAACCTTCCAGGGTGGGGGTGGGGTGGGGGGGGGAATCTGTCTTCCCTTGGCTTTCCTCACATCAAAGCCCATAGCGATGGGGTTTGGGGGGAGGGCTCACCAAAAGGACACAGCCAGATTCCAAAATCCACTCTGTCCCTTCCCAACCTGTTCATCCCCCTGTCTCAGGTGCTGAGGGAGATGTGCAAACAGGGATATAGGGATGGCCTTCGCTTTCTGCGGCGGAATGGTGAGTGGAGGCCCCAGACCCCTGAGAGGGGAGACCTGAGCCGAAGGGGCAGCAGGGGGCCCCCAGCTCTAAAACAAGGTTTTTTTCATCTTTGGAAGGGAAAGAAGGGCGTTGTGGAAAGCAGTGGGGGTGGGGGGAACTGGTCCTGATGTAGCATTAGACTGAGGCCTCTGCTGCCCCCTGCTCGAAAAATGGAGAGGTGCACCCCTCCACACGCCCCCCCCCCAAGCTGATGTTGCCTCAACTGCCCAGGTCTCCTGAACCATCCCAACCCACTGCTGGCACTGCCCCCTTCTGGGAAGGCCCCACCCCCAGAGGAGGAGGAGGAGGAAGATGACGGGGAGAAGGAGGAGCCAGCAGTGGCTGAGATGGCAGTGGTCCGAGCCCAGGCCAGGCAGCGCAAGCTGCCCCTGGGGAACAGAGGCCCTGCTGAAGACCATATCCTGGAGCACCTCCCAGCAAGGCTCAATGAAGGTACCCCTGCCTGAGGATCTGGGGAGGGGCAAGGATCCTGGGCTCTGGATTCGGGAGAGGGAGGCCATGGGTGAAAGCTATTCAGGGCTGAGGCCAGTCTCCCGAGAGGTGATTCACCTCCACACAAGGGTCCAAGAGGGATTTGAGCACAGGTCTCTCCTGACTCCAGGGTCAGCTCTCTGGCCACTAACTGCCACTGAAGAGGGGCCGCTGAAGGCCAGTTAGGCTGGAAAAACCTTCTCCCAGGGAGAGCTGCTTAGGGGCTTCAGGCTGGATCACCACAGGTTAGGGGTGACACAGTGGAGATTCCTTTGGCATGGGGTTTGGGGCCGTCTTCCAGTCTGTGACTCTATGACACGAGAACTATATACAAGGAGGAGGTTATTCTGCAGAACAGGGAGTGAGGAGCACACAGACTGAGGCTGGATGTCAGGAAGAGCTTTGAAGCAATGAGAGCCGGTGGCAGATAGCCGATTCCTCTAGGGGTAGCGGGGCATGTGGACAATTCTGACCGGGAATGGCTAGAACCAGAGGCCAGCCTCAGTTACAGCCAATGGTGTGGGGCCGGGCAGATGAGACGAACCCAGACTGTATTAGACCTGAGGCTCGGGTCAATCAGTAAACATTAATTAAGCACCTACTATGTGGCAGGCACAGTGCTAACTAAGCATGGGGGGAAAGGCAGACCTTGTTCTCAAAGAGCTTATAGTCTAATGAGGAAGAAAATGCACAAGATAAAATGAACAGGCCTCAGCCCCAGCCTCATAAGAGGGAGTGAAGAGTGTAGGAGGGCTCCTAGACTATGAGTCTGGTGACTGGGAGGATATCAGGGCCCTGACCGTCATTGATAAGGGAGCTTGGAAGAGGAGGAGAGATCATGAGCTCAGTTTTGGTCATGGTAAGTTCAAGATGTCTATGGTTCATCCTGTTAGAGATGTCAAATATGTAGCTAGAGATGTGAGGAGAGAGGTGAGAGCTGGATACATAGATTGAGATTCCTTGGCATAGAGATGGCCGTTGAATCCATGGGAGCTGATGAGATCACCAGGTGAATCAGTAGAGAGAGAGCAGAGGGCCCAGGACAGACTCCTGAGGGATACCGGGAGATAGAGGAGCACCAGAGAGGGAGGAGGAGAACCAGGAGAGTGTGGGGCCTTGAAAACCTGAGAGAAGAGAGGACCCAGGAGGAGTGAGCAACCAACAGCATCCAAGACTGCAGAGAGGTTGAGGAGAAGGATGGAGAGAAGGCCGCTAATGAGGATGGGTTTGGCCACGAAGAGGCCGTGGGTGACTTTAGTTGAGTGATGAGGTCAAAAGCCAGACTGTGGAGTTAAGAGAGGAAGAAGACGGGAAGTGCAGGCATTGCGCAGGGATGGCCTCAAGGTTGGCTGCAGAAGGGCGGAGAGCCACGGGACAAAAGTTAGCACTGATGGATGGCTCCAGGGAGGGTTCTTTGAGGATGCAGGAACCTCTTGTTTGTAGGAGCAGGGCAGCATCCAGTGCTCAGGGCAGCAGAGGGGCCAGTCTGCTGGAGGAGCTGGGATGGAAGGGCATCACTTGAGCAGGAAGAGGGATCGACTTTCTGAGCTGGGGACAAGCCACCTCATCATGTGAGACTGCAGTGAAGGACAGAGGGGCAGAAGGCAGCTGGGTGATGGGAAATGAGGAGAGGAGGCGGGGGTGGGGGGATGAACAAGCATTTATTTTATTTAAAAAAGTTGATATTTCATTTTTTTCTAATTACATGTAAAAACAATTTTTAACATCCATTTAAAAATTTTTTTTGAGTTTCAAATTCTCTCCCTCCCTCCTTGAGAAGGCAGGCAATTTGATATAGATTATATATGTGTAGGCATGCAAAACATTTCCATATTATCTATGTTGAAAAAGAAAATGCAGATCAAAAACCCCCCCACGAAAGTAAAAAGAAAAAAAAGTATGCTTCAGTCAGCACTCAGACGCCATCAGTTCTTTCCCAGGAGGTGGACAGCATTTTTCATCACGAGTACTTCGAAATTCTCTTGAATGTTTGGAGTGCTGAGAATAGCTAAGGCATTCACAGTTGATCGTTGTTACAATGTTGCTGTTTTTGCTTACAATGTTCTCCTGGATCTGCTCACTTCACTCGGCAGCAGTTCATGTAAGTCTTCCTAGGTTTTTCTGAAATCCACTTGCTCATCATTTCTTATAACACAATAATATTCCATCACAATCATAGGCCACAGCTTCGAACAAGCTTTTTTTAAGTACCTGCTTTGTGTGCCTTGTAGTAAGTGCTTCACAAATGTAATCTCATTTGATCCTCGAGATAGCCCTGCAGAGTAGGTGCTATTATTGTCCCCATTTTACAGCTGAAGAAACTGAGGCAGACAGGTTAATTGATTTGCCCAGGTAGTAAGTGCGTTTGAGCTCCACTCTTCCCAACTCCAGGACCAGTGCTCTATTCGGCGCACCACAAGCTCTCAGTGAACGGCCACCGGTTTTTGGCCACAATATGAGGCAGAGATCTCAGCTGAGAAGGTGGAAGAGTCGCTGGGACAGGGTTGCCTGGGAGTGATGAGGGCCTGGTGGAGGCCATATTCCCTATATCTGGAGTGGACTCAGTGGTTTTCTCCACCTCTGTTCAGCAGCAGAGGTGTATGTGTGTGTGTGTGTGTGTGTAGGAGAGAAGGTGACTCATGGGAGAGAACCCTGGCTGAGGCTTGGCTGGGCAATATCAGCCATACAATAGGGGGTCATCCAGAGAAGAGGACAGTGTAGAGTTTTAAGATGGGGAAAGGCAGGGAGAGTGGCTGGCGCAGGGGAGATGGTTTGGAGGTCACAGTGTGGACAGAGGACAGGGCTCGGGGTTGTAAGGCAGAGGGAGAGACTGTGACCAGGTGAAGGGATTTCAGAGTTTGTGAACATGGGGGTGGTTGCATTGTGGCCGATGGCAAGAGCGGGTCTGCCCTTCTCTCTGTGTATCTGAGGTGGGGTGGAGGAGCAGGAGGGCATCCACTGGTCAGGGAGCTGCCCCCAGGCCCTGGGCCGAGTCACCATGGATGAGCCTGCCTTCCTTTGCCCGGCTTAGAGGGCAGGTGTGGACACACGTGTGCATACGTGTTCACACATGCTCTTCCCTCTCACAGCCCTGTTGGAGGCCTGTGTGGAGCCCAAGGACCTGATGAGCACCCTCTCCAACATGCTCCCTGTCCGACTAGCCACTGCCATGATGGTGCCCTACATCCTGCCCCTGGAGAGTGCCGTGTCCTTTACCATTCGGTGAGTGAACCCAGCCAGCTGCTGCCCAGCCTGGGGTGTAAGGACAGACGGGGAGAGGAGGGAGCCCAGGCCCTGACGCTCCACCAGCCCCGCCTTGCCCAGGGAGAAAACAGGCCTACAACACCTCGGCTCATGGCAAAATGGCGCACATTCCAGGGGGGAGGGTTGGTGATCTGGGAAGCTCAGGCTTCCTGGAGGAGGCGGCTGTGAAGGATTGGAAGGGATGGCAGTGGGGAGCAGGGAAGGGAGATTTATAAGCCAAGCTGGGGAGGTGAGAAGAAACCAGTGTGTGTGTGTGTGTGTGTGTGTGTGTGTGTGTGCACGTGCGTGTGTGTATGTGTGTGTGTGTGTGTGTGTGTGTGTGTGTGTGGTGCATGAATGAAGGGAGAGAAGACTGGAGGATGGGGTTGAGGGAGGGGAGTGAAGGGGTCAGGCTTGTATTTGAGGAATATTAGTTTGACTTGTGTGTTATGGATGGCGCCCCCAGGGTCAGAGGGCAGCTCCAGCTTCCTCCCTAGGGTCAGAGGGCAGCTCTAGCCGCCCCCCCCCAGGGGGCAGGGAGGCCACTGACCCCCTTAGGAAGCTTTTTTTTTTTTGCTAGGAAATGGGGTTAAGTGACTTGCCCAGGGTCACACAGCTAGTGAGCGTGTCAAGTGTCTGAGGCCGAATTTGAACTCAGGTCCTCCTGACTTCAGGGCTAGTGCTCTATCCACTGCGCCACCTAGCTGCCCCTGTAGGAAGCTTTTTTTGTTATAGTTCAGGAGAAAGTCTGAGGGTGGGATGGGAGTGGGGACATTATGGAGACAAATTACAGACCTTGAACTGGTAGGAAATAGCGTCCGATTGGGGGGCGGGGCGGTGCAGTGAGGGGAGAGAGTCCAGGATGATTCCTTGGTTGGGAACCTGGGTGGTCTCAGCAGGAATGGGGAGGAAGGAAAGTCGGGCTCTGCCTTGGGCCCCTGGGGGGTGGGATTCAGTAAGGCCTCGATGTTGGCCTGGAGTTCAGGGCAGGGGTGCAGAATCATCTGGGTAGAGCAGGGAAGGCGGCAGCCACAGAAGTAGTTAGACTCATGACGGAGGAAGAGAATGTCAGAAGAGGCTTGAGGGCTGAGGACCCTTGTGGCTACAAGAGGGGAGAGGGAGCTAGGCAGCCAGCTGGAGGGCTGGGGTGTGTGAGGGGAGGGGCCCGGTGGGGACTGTGGAAGCAGGGCGACCGGGGGAGGGGGCCGCCTGGGCCTGCCTTCCCACCATCCCCCTACCCCATCTGCAGCCTGCTGGAGTGGCTCCCCGACGTGCCAGAGGACATTCGGTGGATGAAAGAGCAGACAGGAAGCATCTGCCAGTACCTGATGATGAGAGCCAAGAGGAAGCTGGGTGGCCACTTTTGTACCAGGTACTTGTGAGCTGGGGTCTCTGCTGGGTCTCCGACCTCTGGCTGGCTCAGAGAGACTCAAGGGACAGCTCTAGCCTCCCCCCCAGGGTCAGAGGGCAGCTCCAGCCTCCCCTCCCCCTCAGGGTCAGAGGGCAGCTCCAGCCTCCTCCCCCAGGGTCAGAGGGTAGCTCCAGCCTCCCCACCCAGGTCAGAGGGCAGCTCTAGCCTCCCCCCCAGGGTCAGAGACAAACTCCAGCCTCCCTTCCTCCCCCCAGGGTCAGGCAGCAGCCTTCTCCTCTTCTGCTCCCCCAGGGTCAGAGGGCAGCTCTAGCCTCTCTGCCCCCAGGGTCAGGGGCCAGCCTCTTTCTTTTCCCCTGCCCCCTATGACACTTCCTTGACCTTGTCTTCCAGGTTCACTGACCCCCTGGAGCTGCGTCGGGCACACTCTCTGCCCTCAGTGCCTGTGTCCTTTTACGGAGACGCCTTGCCCCGCTGGATGCGAAACAATTTGTCCTTGGGGGACGCGGTGGCCAAATGGGAGGAGTGCCAGCGGCAGCTCCTGCTGGGGCTCTTCTGTACCAATGTGGCCTTTCCCCCAGATGCCCTCCGAATGAAGCCTCCCCCCTCGGGGCCCCCTGCTCTCCCCCACCACTGAGAGCCCTGGGCTCTCCCTCCCCCTGGGGCTCAGTACCAGGCCTCCCCCTTTGCAGAGGGCCTGGGTCTAAGTCTCCCTCAGACAGTAATTACACGTCCTGGGCCTAGTCCTCGGGCTTGGTGCTTCTAGATGGGAGGGGGCTGCAGGGTCGAGGGGGTTAGGGTTGATGAGCAGAGTACACTTGGCTGAAGCACGGGGGGATGACTCCACAGATGTGCCAGCAGTGACCCCTCTAGGAGCACATTCCATCGGTGCCCCTCCCCCTCTCTTTGAGTCCAAGGGGTGGGGCCTGCCACGTGACTGGCTCCTCCCCCCCCCCCCCCCCCCCCCCCGGCGCCCCGGGGGGGGGCCCCCCCCCCCCCCCCCCCCCCCCCCCCCCCCCCCCCCCCCCGCCGGCCTCGACTCCGAACCAGGAACATTCCCTACCCAGAGTGGGCTGAGTCCAGGGGCTTCCTGAGTACTGGAGGGCTGCTGTTTGGGAGCAGGAACCACAGGGTGGGGGCTGTGCCTTATTTTCCCTGCCTTTACCTCCTGGCCTCAGGCAGCTTTTTGGAGCTTTAGGCCCTCTGAATAAGCAGAAGCAAGAGTGCCTGGTGTCTGGCCCTGCCTGGGGGAGGGTGGCTGGACCTTGGGAGGAGCGGTCAGACTGTTTTGCGGGCTGGGGTGAATATATGCCCACCCCTCCAGAAGCAGTATTACCCCTGCTTGTGCCTACTCCCTGCATTTGACTGAAGAATGTATGCAGAATTATTTATTTTGGTGACAGTAGGTGTAACAATAAAGGCTGGAGCTCAGGCCTGCTGCCTCATTCCTGGCCCCAGGGCACGACCTGGCTTCAGATCCTGCTTTGGCTCCTTCCTAGTTACTGGCCCTTGGGCAAAGAAGTCCCACACAGTCTCAGACTGGCAGGGGTCAGAGGCCTGGAACCCAGCTTGCAGCTGCCTCAGAATCCCCTGGAGGCACAGCCTGGGAGCTTTGCAGGTTGGCAGCAGCAACCCCTGATCACGCCCCCTTCCCCCGTTGCTCTTAGTTCTGGGGTCAGTGTGGATTGCCCACTCGTTCTCAGGCTGGTCCAAGGAAACAGCGTTTTGCCCAGTAACGCGGGTTTGGGCCGGCAGAGGTGAACAGGGAGGACGTTGTAAGCGCCCGCCGTGTTTGAGCACGAAGGGGAGGGCCAGGAGACAGGCCAAGGGTGAGAGAGATGGGCTCGGGATGCCGGGCGGATTACCCTAGAAGCAACGGGCAGCCAGTGCCCAGACCCGTGCTTTGGGAAGGTTGGTTTCCTGGCGAGGCACGGCTGGCCAGCTGGAGCACTTGGTGGTTACCGTGTGTTCACCACTGGGGAGAAAAGAGCAAGAAAAGAGAATCCCTGTCTTCAGGGAACTCCTAGGAGGGGGTGGGGGTGGTCCAAGTGGCTGGCAGTAGAGATGGCCTATCAGAGTCCAGGCTTGGGTCAGGGGCAGAGCTCCAGTCTCAGGTAGGGGAGTCTGGATCATGGATGCCTGAGTGGAGTGAAAAGTTGTCTTCGAAGGGAAGGGTACAAGAGGGAAGAAGTCGCTGCTCGGGGGCTGTGGTGGTGGGGAGAGGCTGTGTCAGCAGAGAGAAGGGGAGGGTGGCGAGGGACTGGCCGTGGAAGAGGAGGAGGAGGGAATGGGGAGACTCCAGGCGCCCTTGTGATGGACGTAGCGGGGCCCTACCCAGAAATGGAGAGCGTTGGAGGGAAGACGCTGACTTCTTGGGGATGTGATGAGTTGGAGATGCCAACTCGAAGTGCCTAGCAGACGTCGGGCGATCTCCTCATCTGGGTCAGACAGTGACGGTCACCCAGGGCAGAGCCGAAGCAAGTGCCCAAATTTAGGTGGGGGCGCTGAATGGCGAGCCCAGGAAGGAGGAGGAGCTCACCAGGTGGGGGACCAGTCAGTCCGAAGGCAGAGGGCCCGGTTTGAGCAAGTGTCTCCGATGCCCTGGAGAAGGGGACTCGAGGGGAATAGGAGGGAAAAGAAGAGGAGATGCCCGTTCTGCGAGCAGAGAGAAGCATCCACCAGAGACTCCCTCCTTCAGCTCCAGTACGACATCTGTCAAGGCTTCTTCAGACCTTCCACCGGCTCTGAAACCTCTCTGGCATCCAGTGTTGGGCTGGGGAAGGCCCAGATGTCCTGGGGGAACGCGCCAAGGCAACTGCTCCTCAAAGGGCTCCTTCATGAACTCTTCTGGGTCCAGGCTGACTTTGGTGGACTTCTCTGGGCCTCAGTTTTCTCATCTGTAAGATGAAGGAGCCAGACACAGTATATCTTGTGAATGGTCCTTCCAGAAGCTCAGTGACCTCCCTTCCCAGCAGAGGCAGTCATGGGGAGCTGAGGGGCAAGGATCTTACCCCATGCTCCCCAGGGCAGCCTCAAGTAAGGACAATGAGGGCCAACCTACCTTACTCCACCCCTTTCTGGGAACAGTAGAGGCGGGAGAGATGGAGCTGAGTTGCCCCAGCTCAGAGGGAGGGTGCTTTGTTTTCCTGGGTCAGCCCAGAGCTCAGCCCCTCCACCCCCACCCCAGGCCTCCTGCAGAGAAGAGGGCTGGATCTGAGGGGGGGGGGGCTTCCACTTACCCCCCCCCCCAGGGGTGATCTGAAGCCGCCGGGGGGCCTCCCCCCCCCCCCCCCGCCCCCCCCCCCCCCCCATGGCCCCAGGCCCTTGGAGGGTTTCCTACAATAACGGTATCAGAGACAGTAGACTGGGAGAGCCTGCTGGGCCAGTACCAGGCCTCCTTGTGTGTGTCCCTAGAGGCGGGTGCCTGTGGGGCAAGGGGCCAAACCTGAACCTTTCTGGTTCAACCTGATCCATTTCAAGCCCTCCCCCCATTCCTCCCCATACACACACTCCAGATCAGAGACCTGGGCCAGTCCGGAGAGAATCAGCCTGGAGGACAGCTCCTCTGGATCAGCCCCTGGTGTTCTTGGCTTGCAGGTGGGGACACTGAAGCAGGGTGGGGGGTGGAGGTTGGACAACCTGGGTAGGACCCCGTGCTTGGGGCAGACCAGTCCCTGGCAGGTTCAGCCTGCCCCAGCTCTTCCACTGTCCAGGATGACTCCTGGGGCCTCCAGAGAGACCTGGGCCTGGCTGAGTACTAGGGCCAAGGAGCAAACGGGGGAACCCTCAGGCTAGGCCCCTCCTCTGTTCTTCTCCTTTACCTTTAGTTGACTGTGGCTTTGCTGAGCCCCCAGAGACTTAACACCCTGGGCTTCTGGGTTTGGGGGATAGCCCAGGTGGGGTCAGGACCCTATACTGTCTCCTCAGGACACCGCCCCAACCCAGACTGAGCCAGTCGGAAAAGGCCACCCTCAGCAAAGCTCAGGAATCTAGGCCCCTAAGTGAAGCCTCAAAGAGATGCCAAGGGAAGGGTGGGCACATTCTCACACACTGATGCATACACACACACACACACACACAGGTCTACGCCAATGATGTGGGACCTTCCCAGCTCTAAGTCCTGATGAAGGTGTGTGTATGTGTTAGGGCGAGGCGCAGGATCTGCTCCCACAGACACACACAGGAGTCTCCCCCTTCACTTTTACTGATCACCTCTGCCCTGCCCCCCAGGGAGCACAGTGGCCTTGGAGGACACCCACGGCCACAGTGACGAGCTGTACTTGAGCGGGGCAGCCAGAGGGCTAGGGGTCGGGGCCATGCCCCTCTCGCTTTTGGGGGGACGCTTGTCTCTCCCACAGACAGCTGAGTGTCCCCAGCAAGCTGCCTGCCCCCCAGTGCCCCGCCCCCAGCCAGCCCAACAGGCCGAACAGCGGGGGGCGGGGCGGGCCCCAGGATTTCCGTGACTCTGTCTCCCTCCTCCCGGGCTCTCCCGGCTCGCTGTCTTTCTTTCATTACACTGCTGCGGTTTCTCGGTCCCGGTCCAGGGTTCCCGGGCCGATCTGCTCCCAGTCCCAGGCCGGTGGCCTGGCGGGAAAAGGGTTATGGGGCTGGGCCCGGCCCCTCTCTGCCCCCTCCCCCTTTCCGGGAGGAGCCGCCCTGCTGCCTGCCCTGCCCTCCTGGCCTGGGGCCGCAGGTGCGGGCGCGGCTCCCAGGTAAGACCCGAGGCGGGCAGCGGGGCTCCACTCCTAGGGAGGCCGGGTGAGGGGGCACCCCTCAGCCTTTGGGAGCTCCGCCCTTTCCCCCCACCCCACCCAATCTCTGCCCGCCGCTTGGTCCCTGGCCTCCCGGCCGGGCTCCCGACTCCTGCCGTGCAAGTCCCAGGGGTGGAGACGGAGCTCGGAGAGGGACCCGACGGCAGGGACTTAGATGCCGGACGCAGCAGGAAGACACGGGGCGGCAGGCCCGGAGAGGGGCACAGTCAGGGAGGTAGGACGCAGGGCGGAGAAGTGGGGGCAGACCCCAACTCCCTCCACACACACCCCGCCCTCACCCCCCACCCCGAGGTGGGGCAGCTCTTCATTCCAGAGGGGCACGGCAGGGGCCGAGCTGGAGATCTCTAGCTGGGCCGAGGTGCCTCACCAGGCTAACAGGCTTTGGGTTCCGTTGCTGCCCACCCAGGCCTGTCACCACCCTCCCGTCGGGCAGATGGCAGTGACTTCAGGTGACCTCCAGCCCTACCTCTTCTCTCCCCCCACCCAGGCCATCCAAACAGGGGGGAAAGGGGCTGAGGCTGGGCAGCAGCCAGTAGACAGGACACCCTACCTCAGTTTCCCCCTTTTGAATTCCTGCCCTTACCTGGGGCCTGGTGGCCTGGCCAGGGCCTCTGCCCCTTCCCCTTGTGGAATGCAAGCAAGGAGATCCTTCTCCCTTCCTCTCTTTGCCCCCTCTCCCCTCCCACACGCAGTGACAGGTGCAGACCGAAGCCTTAGGGTGGGGCCGAAAAGCACCTGAGGTGTCCTGCCTGTGGGGAGAGGAAGAGGTAGATACCTGCTCCAGGGATCCCTCACTTGCTCTGAGGGAAACCTGGAGGGCAGAGGGAAATGGAGTCACCAACTGGGGTCACACCGTTGGCCTTGGCAGGATTGGGGAGGGGAGTCAAAGGCTTAGGGACCTGGTCTGGAAGGCTGAGGCTGGCAGTGCCAGGGGCTAGCCCCCTCAGCTCCCCTCCTGCCTCCTCCCTCAGCGAAGGCTCTGGGCCTTTGGGCTGAGATTTGAGCTGGGGAAGGAGGCCGGAGGTGAGTCACAGGGGCCCCTCCCCCCACCCCGGACCCAGAGTGGGGGAGGCGGGAGGCAATGGCCAGATAGAATTACTACTGGCCTGCCTGCCTGCCAGATTGAGGCCCCCCTCTTTGCCTTGCAAATGGCTGCAACACTACTGGAATGGGGTGGGGGGAGAAGACTGAGGGATGCTAGAGGTGCTAGGGAGCTGAGCACAGATGTCCCCTGGAGTGGGGGTGGGGGCTGGCACATGCTTTCCCCCAGGGCAGGGCCCAGTGTTCTCTGTCCTTGGGGAGGTCCTGGTACTAAAGCGATTAGATCACCATGTGAACAGCCCCTCCCTGTTGGCCCAAGGTGCCCTGGCCAGGCTCCTTAACCCTTTCCTCACTTTGTGTATGGGGGGAGATGGGCATTCTGCAGCACTGACGGACACCTTTGCCAGCTTGCCAGGTCAGTGGGCCTGGGAGCTGGAACACCTGGATTTCTGACACTTAGTGTGGCCTTGAGGGAGGGGCTGAGAGTAGTTTCAGGCCTTCCCAGCCAATGGAATGGGAGGCTCTGCTCATACCCTGCCAGCAGGGCCTGTGGGTCAGTCAGTCAGTCAATCAATTAGGGTTTCTGGAGCACATGTTCAGTGCCCAGGCCTTTGCTGTGGGAAGAGAGCCGGATGCCTAGGGCCCCAGGGAAGGCCAGCTCCTGGGCTGTTTCCTTGATGATGTTCAGTGGAAAGGCCCAGCCCTCCCTCCCTTCATTCCTTCCATCCTTCCTCCTCTCCCCCTCTCCCCTTTCTTCCTCCCTTTTTCTCCATTCTTTCTCCTCCCCTTCTTTGTCTACTTCCATTTTCTCCTTTCCCCTCCTCTCTCTCTCTTTCTCTCTCTCTCTCATTCTCTCTCTCTGTCTCTGTCTTTCTCATTCTTTCTCTCTCTGTCTCTCTCATTCTATCTCTCTGTGTCTCTGTCTCACTATCTCTCTCATTCTCTGTGTCTCTCTCATTCTCTCTCTCTGTCTCTCTCTTTCTCTCTGTCTCTCTCATTCTCTCCCTGTGTCTGTGTCTCTGTCTCTCTCTCCTCTCTCTGTCTCTCTCTCATTCTCTCTCTGTCTCTCATTCTCTCTCCCTCTGTCTCTCTCTCTCTCATTCTCTCTTTCTCTGTGTCTGTCTCTGTCTCTCTCTTTCTCTCTGTCTCTCTCTCTCCTTTCTCTCTCTCTTCTTCTCTCTCTCTCCTCTCTTTCTCTCTGTCTCTCATTCTCTCTTTCCCCTCCTCTCTCTCTCTCCTCTCTCTCTCTTTCTCTACCTCTCTCTCTTTCTCTCTTCCCTCTCTGTCTCTCTTTCTCTCTCTCTCATTCTCTCTCTCCTCTCTTTCTCTCTGTCTCTCTCCTCTCTCTGTCTCTCTCTCATTCTCTCTCTCTCTCTCTGTCTCTCTCTCTTTCTCTCTCGCTCCTCTCTCTTTCTCTTTGTCTCTCTCTCTCCTCTCTCTGTCTCTCATTCTCTCTCTCTCCTCTCTTTCTCTCTTCCCCCTCTCTCTCTGTCTCTCTCTCATTCTCTCTCTCTGTCTCTATCTCTCTGTCTTTCTCTCTCATTCTTTCTCTTTCTGTCTCTCTCATTCTATCTCTCTGTGTCTCTGTCTCCCTATCTCTCTCATTCTCTCTCTGTGTCTCTCTCATTCTCTCTCTCTCTCTCTCTCTCCTTCTCTCTCTCCTCTCTTTCTCTCTTCCCCCTCTCTGTCTCTCTCTCTTTCTCTCCCTCTCTCATTCTCTCCCTCTCTGTGTCTGTGTCTCTGTCTCTCTCTTTCTCTCTGTCTCTCTCTCTCCTCTCTCTGTCTCTCTCATTCTCTCTCTCTGTCTCTTATTCTCTCTCTCTCTGTCTCTCATTCTCTCTTTCTCTCTCTCATTCT